CCTTTTCTAAGCATCAACCTTAAGAGAGTGTGAGCGCCCCCGTCCTGCGCCGTTAAAATGCCCTCACGCGCCCTCTGGCGAGAGCGAGATATCTAACGAGCCCCCCCGGCCGGCGCGTGTCTTCTTAGAGAGGAGCCGGAGAGAGGGACCTCTTTAATAAACCGACACGCACGCGCATACACGCCGATTCAGAAACTTTCCCAGCCGTTGGAATGGGTGCGCTCCCGCCCCTCACCGGGCAGAACGAGTAGTACATGTGGGCCCCGAAGAGAGAGGAGTCGCTGAAAGAGGCGTAGTTCTAGATCATGCGCGGGGAGGAGGAGTCGGCGAGCAGCAGAGAGGAGAAATACCTGATATAAGAGGGCGCGGGGCGCGCGGCGTGCGTGTCACGCGAGGCGTGAGGCGCAGAGCGTGGGACGAGAGGGCGCGGGGCGCTCGAGGTGGGGGCAGAGTGTTTTTTGTGTGTGTGTGTGTGTGTGTGTGTGTGTGTGTGTGTGTGTGTGTGTGTGTGTGTGTGTGTGTGTGTGTGTGTGTGTGTGTGTGTGTGTGTGTGTGTGTGTGTGTGTGTGTGTGTGTGTGTGTGTGTGTGTGTGTGTGTGTGTGTGTGTGTGTGTGTGTGTGTGTGTGTGTGTGTGTGTGTGTGTGTGTGTGTGTGTGTGTGTGTGTTGGTTTGTTTGGGCTGGCAGGGCAGGGCAGGGCGGCGGCGCAGGCGTAGACAGCACTGGCGAAGCGAGGCGGCCGGCGCCGGCCCCGGAGGCGGCTGCAGTAAGAGCAGCGAGGCAGAAGTCATTGTCCAAGGCACTGGATAGGGTCGACTCCGCATGGTACGGGATCCCTCGATCGTCTCGCCCTCCCTCACTGGTGTGTTCATTGGGGGAGGTCATAACAAACACAGTTTAACAGGACCCACTGTGCACTAACCAGGGGTTGGGTTACGGCCTGTTCACTACAAGATGACGCTTGTATAACCAGGGGTTGGGTTAATTCAGCTTCATCTGCATCCCTCCCTCCACGCTCCAGCCTCCTTGGGTTGTCTGTCTGTCACATGTTCTCCCAAGTCTCCCTTCTTCAAAACAAATTCACAGAGCTACGTAGATTCAGGGTGCAACGTGCATGGACGATGGATGCTAGCGTGCCGATGGCACCTCTCCCCCGTCACGACGAGAAGGAGGGCAGCACCTCGACGACTTCGAAGGTGACGCCGCCGTGCTCGAACGCCTCCCGCCGCCCGGACGGAGCGAGGAAAGTGAGCGGCGGGTAGCATACCTGCGCGGCGCGAGACGGCGACAGCTAGGGCGTCGAGCGGCGGACGTGATGGGCTCGTGTCTTCGACTGAAGAGCGGGGGGGAGTGTCTCCACCGACGCTGCGCCTTCCTGCCCGTGCTGTGCGTGCTGCGTGTGTGCTGCCTTGTGCCGCGTGTGCACAAGGGGCGTCCGTGGCACGCACGCGCGCGCCTCCGCCTCGGCCGCAAAGCTAAAGAGATATAGGGTGATATATGGGGAGAGATGCGCCTCCGCCTCGGCCGCAAAGCACGAGCAGTAGCTCAGGTCTGCGCCGCGGTCAATAAACGAGTTTGCGCGGAGCTTGAACAGAAGCGCGCGCCGCCCCCGCAGACCTCCGCTCCCGCCTCCAAGGGCGTAGGCGATGGCAACCTGGGGGGGGGGGGGGGTATCGCGGATGCATTCGCCGAGGGTGTGGAGCAATCGAGC